GCTTCCAATCCTAGCTCGTTCTCCAAATACTTAAACCACTTATCATTTTCGAATTCCTGCCTCTTTTCTGCTTCAAAGTTCGAAGCTTGACAGTAATATTGATCTACCTCGTTAGATCCGAACAAATCTATGTCCTCTAAATCTAATATGTTCCAAAAATCTTTGTCCCATTCCAATGGGATTTCAATTGATTCCAATTCCAATTCCAATTCCAATTCCAATTCCGACCTTATTTGCTTATTCTCTTTCTTCTTCTCCACTTCCTCTCCAAAATCTAAGTGGTTTTGAGGCCAAACTTTGTCAACTTGGCTACTTGAGTTTGAATTTGAGGTGTTACTCGAAAGGGAACTCGTGGTTTGTTGTTCGAGACAAAAGAGGTCGTTGTTAACAGAGTTGGTCTTGTTCGGTCGTTCGGTCTCTAAGTCTTGAGTTTCGTTGGAGGGGCGTAAACTCGAGGAGGAAGATGATGAAGTTGTCGGAGACTCCTTTGGTTCGTTGCAATCTTTGGTTGTCGTCGTCTTTAATAATCTTTTCTTTAAATGTGTGTTCCAAACATTTTTTATCTCGTTGTCTGTTCTTCCCGGCAAACGAGATGCAATTTTAGACCACCTATAACGTGTTAAATTTGTTAAAGGAAGAAAGATTAAAATTTATAGTAAAAACTCGTAAATGAAATCATACTTGTTCCCCCAAGTTTTATGCAACTTGATTATGGTTTCCTCTTCATCCGGTGTAAAGTTTCCTCGTTTTACATCAGGTCGAAGGTAATTGATCCATCTCAAACGACAACTTTTTCCACATCGTAATAATCCTATAAAATGAATTAAGGAAACAAAAAAACGTTAGAATTCATCGTTAAATAAATGATAAATAAAACAAATATAATGTTGCTGAAAATCAACCTTAACTCATCATTATAAGATCATATGGTAAAATAAAACATAAAAAAAAAATTAAAATTTCTTCTTCTTGAATAAATAAGGAAGAAAAGGCTTTATGGGTAATTTTCTTTTTCCTTTTAATTTATTTTTAAAATCCACGTGGGATAGATTGAAAAAAAAAATTGAGTTTTTTGGTAAACAAGGTTGTTGGTCGGTTGGTTGAATTTAAGGTATCAGTCACTTAATAGTTTTTTTTTTCTTTCAATTTTTTAGTTAGGTAGAAGATCGATTAATTACCATATATATTTTATACAATATTCTGAAGTAACGTAAAGAAATTAGGTGAATTGAAAAGCTTTCAAAGAAAGACATCGTTTAAAAATGAAAAGAATTTGAATTGAGAAAAAGATCGTTAAACTAACTAAACTAAACTATATTAGTAAACTAAGCTAATAAAATAAAAAATTTAAGGTCGGGTTATGAAAATAGGTTTAAAAATGCGTTGTTAGTAAGTAATTAAAGAATTATATATCTAATTAAAATGGAAGGATTAATTATTAAAAAAAAAAAAAATCTTATGATAGAATGACTTGAAAGGTCAGCACCCTCTATCCTCATCTACAGTAAATAATTAAAGTAACGTATATAATTTTGTTTTATTATGACATTTATTAAATTTTTCAAAATTTAAATAATATTATCCATTTAAAAACAAAATTTTGGGAGAAAAAGAGAAAGTAAGAAACACCCGGGTGGAGAAGGTTAGGAATTACGAATCTCGACAATGGTACGATAATGTCCACTTTAAACATAAGCTCTCGTGTCTTTACTTTGGACTTCCCTAAAAAGAGTTCGTACCATTGGAGAAAGTATTACTCACTAATAAATATACGATCTTCTACTAAATTAACGAACGTGAGACTCACACTCACAATGATCGAGAAACGATGAGAAGGTGAAAAGATGAAATAAGAGAGAGAGATGGTGGGGGCGGCGGTGGATGGCGGAGAGAGAGGGGGAGAGAGAGTACCTGCTTGCTTAGGGAGAGCTCTCCAATTATCATGGCCATAATTTTGGATGAAATTGATGAGCCTGAGATCCTCAGCAGGGCTCCATGGACCTCGCTTCACTTGATTCTTATCGCAACATGGAGCCCTTCCCTTACCCATCTCTTAAACATATACAAATCTTCTTCTTCTTCTTCTTCTTCTTCTTCTTCTTCTTCTTCCTATTATTATATGAAACAGGAGAGAGAAACTAGAGAGAGAGAGAGAGAGAGAGAGAGACAGAGGACAGAACAGAAGGTTCATACCCTAACGTAGGATGGGGGAATATGTTTAATATATATATATATATTATAAATTAATTAATTGAAGGATTTTAAACCATAAATATTTTCCCCATTATTATTATTATTATTTTTCTACAAAGGAAAAAAAATATAAAAAGAAAAGGGATGGTCGGGGATTCCCTGAGGTCAATTTCAGTAAGGTAAGTTTGGAACCTAAGATCATCACCATCAATGTGACAGACGGTTGAGGGGATCCATCGGATGTTACTGTTTTACCAAACATTAATTTTTATTTCATATCCTCCACTTAAATTAATTAATTAATTCAATTTGACTATAAAATTAAATATATTTAATTAGTAATTACCACATCCTTATCTTTGGCTATTCCATCAAATATTTATCTAATTTACCTAATTAATCATTTTTACCATTCAATTTTTAATCCTAACTGTAAAAGAGTTAAATGGTAATTTAATAAAGATTCAAAGGATACTCCTCAATTAAAATTTGTTGATTTTTTAAAAAAGTAAAAGTGATAGATGATGTAATTAGTGAGTTAGTTAGTTAATAATTAATTAATTGTGAGTTTGGATTTGGTAGGAATTGAAAATTCTTTGGAGAAGTAGAAATTATAGGAGTTGAATATTAAATATACGTGGAAAATTATTTTTAAAAATTTAAAATAAAATTAGAGATCAAATTTTTAATTCTATAAAAATTAATAAATATTTTATAGAATTATTTTTATATATAATTCTAATTTCAACCAGCTCCCTTAATTAGTTCACCTGTAAATGATTATTATTTTATTTAATTATTGAAATTATGATATCACAAATGGAATAAAAGATAAAAAAAAGTCAGATTATTTGGTAATCCAACAAATTTGGTGGCATTCAAAGGAAGAAAAAAAGACATATTATTATTATTATTATTATTATTATTATTATTATTATTAATTTGGTTGTCTAAAATATCTTTTTGTTGTGTAGAAAAAATTGGTAGTGAAAGGGAAGTAGCAAATAATAATTATTAATAATGCAATGAACGTGTGATATTAATATTTCCTTGTGGGTTAGTAACATTTAACTAACCATTCAGACTTTTAAGGTTTACCAAACACCTACGAGTCCATATTAGAGACAGTGACATAAATTATTACGTATACGTGACGGTTCTTGATCTGAATAAATAAAATTGATATCAATCATAAAGATTAATCGATATCTCTAATATCCTAAAAGAAATTGATAAAATACGAAAAATAAATATATCAATTAGGTGTTTTAACTTAACTGACAAATGCAAATATGTTTGTTTATATAATTTTTTCGATTGATATTTCTATTGACGTTTTAATGGTAGATTCTAAAATAAATATAAATATCAATAATAAGGTAAATAAATATAATTTAAATGATTTATAAAGATATACTATTCAATTCTAGGTAGAAATTTTTAGTTACGGAAGAAAATGATTCAAATAATGTAGGGTGTCAAATTATTTGAAAAAAGTGAGGAGAGAACTATTACTTTTGAGACACCGATTTTGGAAGTTTAATATTAGGATAGGTGTGGAACAATAGTACATTTTTAGAACGGTTTTAAGAAAATTGTCAATGTGTTGAATAATATACAAATAAGCTAAAAGATTAGAGGATTTCATATCTATGTCGCGTGTTGAATAATATACAAATAAGTCAAAAGATTAGAGGATTTCATATCTATGGAACGACAGAATGGAATGTGACAATACACAATACACAACAACCGCCGGTGTCCTCAATCAAAAGTGATATTAGATTGTAGAGAATTTCAAATTACTCTGATATATGAGTGTTTGGTCAACAACGGTCTCCCAATTCTTACTTCCAAGCTCATCAACTTCACTTATGACCCTAAATTCGATTTCAACTCAATTTCCTCCCGGATTGTTGTTCTCAAATCTCTCGTTCTTCATGCCTATGTGTTTATTTAAATTGACATCGCTTAAATGACGTTAGATTAAATCATGACTTCCAATGTCTTCAATAATGTGAACCCATTGAAATAAGTAGATAATTTAGAAGCATAAGTTAAAATATTTCTTTAGTCAAACTTGAAATTGCAATTATAAATAACATCAATAATCCAATAATAGTTTTAAAATTTTTCCTTGATATCAAACCTTATCAAACATTAGACTTTTAAGTTCCTAATTTGGAAGAAAATGATTCAAATTATAAAAGGGAGTCAAAGCATTTGAAAAAAGTGATGAAAACAGTGCATCAATTTCATTTGCTGCAGCTCTGTACGATGATTTATTTTTCATTAAATAAACACTACGGGTATTGTAAATGAAGTTTATTATTCTTCCTTTATTGAGCACAATAAATGTGGAAATGAGAGTATAAACCCTAATTTCAAGAAGAATCAATGTCATTCAACTGTTGAGACAGACATATTCATGTTTGCATGTTCATCTACATGCAGTCTCAAACATGGCATTTAAATCCAACCATAATCTAATCCATTTATATCATATAATTCATAAAAAGAAAATATTAGAGATTGAAAAAAAAAATGGAATTTCTGGCTAATGGTAAATCTAAAACATATAGTTAAGTAGATAAGACACTAATTATCTATCTCTAGTACTATCCGTTATAATAAGAGAAAAGAAAAGAGTATGAAGCGCACCTGGAGAAGGACGACCAAACACGCGCCTGTATCACAAGCGCGAGTCATAGACAGGAGAGGATCCATAAAAATGAAAGTATAACAACCAGGATAAATTAAGCATGATTCCCCCAATGAAAAATTGAAGAACTTTGGGAATAACTGAGTAATTAATAAAGTAAGCTTGGGCTCAAATATTTTCCATTAATCCACGCCAACAAAATAAAACTGAAAATTCAGAATTTCAGGATGTGATAGATAAATGCTTTTACAGGTAACCACCACCCCTCAGGGCGAGCACGAGATGGAGAACAGAACCACCCTCAATGTTGTAGTCTTTAGCCGTCTTGTCATCTGCTAGCTGTTTGCCGGCATAAATCAGCCTGCAAAACGGAGTGCACTTTCAAATTTTAAGTTCCATAAGCAATAAGCAAATCCCATTAATCCGTTTAGTCGGTAACAAATCAGAGTGCATAGAAGACAATACGAAATAGAAGAATGAATTTTGATGGAATTCAGAATAGTTGACTCACTAATTCACATTACGTGGGTATTATGATATATTTAACGCCACCCCAGAAAATAATAGCATAAAACAGATATTAGAAGAAAGAGCACGGGAAGGCTAACCAGAGAGCCTAGAAATCATGGGCAAATTAAACTTAAGTAACGTGACTAACTCTATCAAACTATCAATTTTCAGGCACATAAGCAATAATGCAAAATCTTCTGTCAATCTATATCAAGATTCTCTAAGTGTAAATCTCACTACTTGGAATAAAACTTCAAAAACATGAAACATGTTAACATACAATAAAATACTAAATAGAGATGTCCATTATCTGAGCTCCAAATATGGGGGTGGAGATATATCCTTGAACCAGATTTCTAATCCACTGAAATCTTCTCAAATTAGCAATGGACCTGTCCTTACGTTGTTTGAATTGTGCTATGTCAATACATTTTAAAATAACACGTCATGCATAAAATAAATGCTGGAATCTAAAACACTCCAACTTCATGAACCCTATGCTAAGTAGGAAAGCTCCACGCCAAATTCTATTCTTAATCAGAGAAGGCATACTGATGCGTTTGAGGGAGATTCAACAAGGTATCCACATATACAAATGCCTATAGAAAGATTTAGTCATTGTAGTTCAAGTAATGGAGAAGAAGGTAAATGCAGACCTTTGCTGTACAGGGGGAATCCCCTCTTTCTCCTCCACCCTCTCCTTGACACGATCAATTGTGTCGGTTGGCTCAATGTCAATCTCAATTTCCTTCCCAGTCAGAGTCTTGACCTTAATCATAGTACCTCCCCTAAGCCTCAAGACGAGGTGAAGGGTTGATTCCTTTTGGATGTTATAATCTGCAAGTGTTCGACCATCTTCCAATTGTTTACCAGCAAAAATTAGTCTCTGCTGGTCAGGAGGAATACCTTCCTTGTCCTATATATAAACAAAACGATAAAACCAAATTGCTTAATTGCCCTGGTTGAAGCTAGAAAGAATGTAATTCAGAATTCAAAATATGATTTTTTTTTTTATAAAGAAAGGCACAATGGAATCAAATTGCCATATCAAATCTATGGGGACCACAACAGCTTGCAGAATTTTTTTTGTTGGGAAAGTGATTCCGCATGAATAAAAACATACACCAGAAAACAAAACAACGCCATGGAAGAAGCTAAATGGTAAACAGACATACGATAAAGGAAATGTGTCCAGAAAGGAATAAAACCTACTCGAACTTAATTTGACTGACAATCGCAACAAACAAGCAAAAAGGAAACCATCGGCGCCAATTTTCTTAGTCCCCTATCTAATGGTTCATGCAAACATATGTTGGTGAGAATTGATTGAAAAAAAAAAAAACGGAGTTTCCATAACATCTCCTCTGCGACGAAGACATAGATAAAAAGAAGAACGAAAACAAATGAAATCTCCTCGGCATGAAGCAACTTCCAAACGGCGAAGGAATCTCCAAGTCGTAAAACAAAGATAATAACGATGAATTAAACAAGCAATCAGACTAAACACAAATCAAAAGGCAAAAAAACTAAACAACAGGAAAATCAAAACCGAAATTCAACCAAAGAAACGTAAGCCAGAAATGAATTCATAAAAGGCAGTAAGGAAAGGAAGTCAGAAACTACAGACCTGGATCTTGGCTTTGACATTATCAATGGTATCACTGCTCTCGACCTCGAGCGTGATCGTCTTCCCCGTTAGGGTTTTGACAAAGATCTGCATCGCTTTCCTTCCCGCGTTTTAAGTAAACAGAGCGAGAGAGAAAAAAATGGACAAAGATAACAAAAGAACCAAGTGTCGACAAAATTGGGCAAAATCCGTCTATTGTTTTTGTTAAAATTATTCTTTATTTATTTATTTATTTAAATGCCTCCACTATTTACCAAATTACCCCCTCAGTTCCCACGTCATTTACCTTTTTTTCTTTTAATTAAATTACAATTGTTTATTCGATTTTTTAAATTTAAATTTAAATTTTATTAAATTCAACACTAAATTTAGAATTTTTGAATCTTTATTTAAAAAATAAAAATTGAATAAATAAATTTATATTCTTCATCATATTGTGCGTAGTGGAACCTCATTTGGGCCCACTATTAAAGGCTTTTGTGTCCTACAACTAACCATCCAAGCCCACTGTAAATTGGGCCCATTTTGTACTATTTTATCCTTTAAATTTTTTTGATTAAAATAAAATTAAAAAAATGATTATTAATGAGGGTTGAATATTAATAATAATTATAATATAATATTATGAGAGAGTTTCATTAATGGGGGGGACATTAAATGCATTGATGTTACTTCCTAGTTTTGAAGGACCATTTTATTTAATTTTTCCAATGTTTGACCAACTCAATTAATATTAACATTTTCAAGGAAATTATGATATCTTATGTTATTTTAATTTATACCATAAATGTGGTCTTCTTTGAGTTTACCCATAAACAACACTTTTTTATTTTTATTTTTCTTTAATTATTTCCTTAATTTATTATTAAATTTAGCTATTAACTTGTTTAATTAGGTTTAATTTAAATTACAATGAATTACTAATTTTTATTTAATTAGGTTTAATCCTCAACATAATTGAGGATTTAATAAATATTAATTTGTTTCCAATTAAATGAAGTAGACTTTTTTTTTTTTTTTGGTGATTCATTTTACGAGGATTTAAAAATGAAATAAAACGGAAATTTATTGAACCAAGAATGGTTGGGGTTGTTGCGTTGTGTTTAATATTACAGGAGAAATTAATTGAAGAAAGGGTGTTTTGGTCATTTCACGAAGTAAATCTTTTACTCCTCAAATTAATCGATTTCACACGTGGCATGGCCAAGTCAATGCACGTCTCTTATAATATCCACACTCCAATTAAATTTAAATATCCTCCTCAGATTTTCAGATTTTTCGTTTGTTAAGAGATGTGTCTTATAAAGAATGATTCGTTTTTTTCTCTTATCGATAGGAGATCTCACAAGTTAGCCAATCATCGGGCGATATGCCAACGAGGACGTTGGGATTTGATGGGGAACAAAGTATTCTTTATAAGGGCGTGGAAATCTCTCACCTATTGAATAGAAGCCCAAAAAGAAAAACTCAAATAGTACATTATGTGTTAACGGTGGGTTTTGTTGGATGATGAAAGTCCACATCGACTAATTTAGGGAATGATCATGGGTTTATGAACAAAGAATACTCTTTCCATTGGAGTCATACATTTTGGGGAATGCCAAAGCAAAGCCACGAGAGCTTGTGCTCAAAGTGGACAATATGATATCATTGTGGAAAGTCATGTTCATCTAACTTGATATCAGAGTCATGCCCTAAACTTAGTTTTGTCAATAGATTAGTAAATCCTCAAATGTCTAACAAATGACTCCAAAAGAAAACGAGTCAAGCCTCCTCGAAGGCAGTAAAAAATGACTAAGACTCCAAAGAAGTCGAGCCTCGATTAAGGGGAGGCGTACTTTGTTCGAGGGGAAGTGTTGGATGATGAGAAAGTCCCACATCGGCTAATTTAGGGAATGATCATAGGTTTATAAACAAAGAGTACTCTCTCTATTAGAGTGTCATACCGTTGTGGAGACGGGTTTAAGCTATCCTGTTGCTCGAGAAATAGTAGATAAATGATAGGTTATATGTGTTTGAATTAATGAAAATAAAATAAAAAAATCAAAATGGAAAGAAAATTCCGAAGCACAAAGCTTGGTTGGGCAATAAATGTGTGCATAACTAAAAACATTTTTGTTAATTTCAAATTTTTGAAGAAATAAAAATAAATTATTAAATCTATTTTATATATCGCCCTCTTAATTTTCTACGATATATAGAGACCTCTCTGCGGCCTTTGGACAAGAAAACCGACACTTCCATTTCTCTCTCTACTTTCTCTCTCTTCCTGTCTGAGAACAAATGGCCGCCGAAGTAAGCTCGCTCGTGCGAGTTCTTACAAGCTACAACAAAGCGGCGGCCGGAAACGATTCCGGCACCGAGAAATTAACGACTTTGATCACCCGAGACTTACTCAGCGGCGGCGAGTCTCAAGAATTGGACCTCGACCTCCATGTTCCTTCCGGCTGGGAAAAAAGGCTGGACTTGAAGGTACGATTTTTCCCCTTGAATTTTAAATTTTTAATTATTTTGTGGCTCTTGATGTTTGATTAATCAAGACCCATGTTGGAATTTTCGTTAAAAATGAAACAATTTTTTGTTTTTTTGTGTGTAATTTTGGACGGCAATGAAACAGAGTCATATTCAAAAAAAGCAGAGTTCAATTATTTGAAGTGTCTTTTTGTGTGTGGATGATTAATTGATTGAATTTTAATTATTTCAGTCAGGAAAAATGTTCATTCAAAGATGCAATGTTCAAGATTTCAACAACAACAATCATCAAATGAATCAAACAGTACCAAAGCTTCAAGATTTGAACTTTCCACCGTCGCCGCCCAATTACCCAAAATTCCGTTTCTCAACCCATTTAATGGACGAAACCAATTTGGATTTGAAATTAGTTTCATCGCCGTCGCAGTCGCCGTCGCAGAGGACTAATTATCAGAGCGTTTGTACCTTAGACAAGGTCAAATCGGCGTTAGAACGAGCCGAGAGAAATCCCATCAGAAAACGGTCGTCACTCTGGAAATCATCGCCGTCGGTGTCGCCGTCGCCGTCTTATTCCTCCTCCTCGTCGTCAGCAGCTGGAAAGGAGTTTCAAGAAGAACCCAACTTGAAACATTTGTCGTCAACGCCGATTGTCGCCGGCTGCCCTGGTTGTTTGTCCTACGTGTTGGTGATGAAGAACAATCCGACATGCCCACGGTGTAGCTCCGTCGTACCGTTGCCGGCGGCGAAGAAACCTCGTATTGATCTGAACATTTCAATTTGATTGAAAGAGCGACAGAAATTATCATCTTCAAGACATAGATTTCATTGTTTTTTTTTTTCTTTTTCTTTTTTTTTTTCTTTTTGGTAGCTGTACTTAAAATTATTAACTTTTATGTTAAAAAAAAAAAAAAAAATACCAAAGAGGGAATTTAAATTCCTAGCAATATTTCTTATATGGTAAAAATAAAATAATTCATTAATTTACCTATGGTAAAAGGTAAATACGATTTTTAAGTATTAATTGAAGAATTAAATTCTACCTATATTAATTGGTGATGAAAATAAAAGGTGCATTAATTCATAGTCGGCCATCCACTACTCTTGTTGTTAGGTAATTAAAATGAAAAAATAAAATAAGATAGACATAGTTGAAAATATTGTCACAACACTATTAATGTTCGGTTACGAAAACTATATATTAAAATAAATAGGGAAGAAAAAACATGATATTAAGGGATAATAAATGAAGAATAATAAATAAAAGAAGATAAAATTAGAGGGGAAATAAATGAATGAAAGGGGTATTCAACCAAAGGAGGTGTTAATGGAGATAATTTTATTGCTCCAAAACTAATTATTCAAACCCAAAATTAATAAATATTTATACCTAACATTCATTTAATGATAATTTAATTTTTCATACTTTTCCTACCTACGTTTCCCAAATGCTTTTAATGACCCCTTTTTTTTCTTTTTTTTTTTAATAAATTCCAAGTTTAAAATTTTAATTATGTAATAATTAGTTGGTTTAATGGGTGTTTTTGAAATAATTATATTGAAATAATTGAGTGGAAATTAATTATAAGAAGCAAAACACGTGGACAATAATTTGTTGAGTGTGGAGTATTGCATTAATTTGATTCAAAAGGTTGCACATGATGAATGATGAATGATCATATTTATATATGTTAAGAAATTAAGACATGATGAATTAATTGATTAAAGTGTATAAACATTAGGGATTTGGTGAGGAATCAGAGTCATTAAGCTCCAAATGAGAGGGGGAAAAGTTTGGTTGTCAATATCAATGTGTCAATTGAAGTATTGTTGGTTGAGGCAAATAAATCAAAGAGACCCATCAACAATTGCCATTTAATGACTCCTAATGTTTCAAATTTTGAATTCAGATATCGGTGTGAGAGCTAGCGGTGACGTTAAGTGCTTAAAGGGGTAGTGTGAGATTTCAGTGTTCTTTATAAGAGTGTGGAAACTTGTTCCTAGTAGATGGAATTTAACGTCTTGAGAGGAAATTTGAAAGGGAAAGTTCATGGGTTTGGGTTGTTACGAATGGTATCAAAGCTAGACTTTGAGCGATGTGCTGGTGAGGAGGTTGAGACTCGAAGGGGGTGGACATGAGGCGAAGGACGTTGGGCCTTGAAAGGGGTGGATAGGGTCCCACATTGATAGGAGAAAGAGAATGAGTGTTAGTGAGGATGCTGGGTCTGTAGGGGGTGGATTGTGAGATCCCACGTTGGTTGGAGAGGGGAATAAAACATTCTTTACAAGGGTGTTGAAACCTCTCCCTCCCTAGCAAATGTGTTTTAAAGCCCGGAACGGAAAACTCAATTAGGACAATATCTGATAACGGTGGACTTGGACCATTACAGGTAAATTGTGAGATCAAACATCAGCTCGAGAGTGAAACGAAACACTTTCTTATAAGGGTATGGAACTTGGACCGTTACAAGTAAATTGTGAGATCAAACATCAGCTCGAGAGTGAAACGAAATACTTTCTTATAAGGGTATGAAACTTGGACCATTATAGTTAAATTGTGAGATCAAACATCAGTCAACTCGAGAGTGAAAGGAACTTGGACATCAAACACTTTCTTATTTGTTTATTTATTTAATTTCAATATTAAGTTTCCCCATTATTGTGATAAGCCATTAAGTTAATGTAATATTATTTAATTTTAATGATGATATAATAACGTCATTATTTCGTAAGACTTTGAATTTATAAAACTTTAAATAATAATTATAAAAAATATACATCTCTAACCTAATTAATATGTCTCCATTCACCCACCTAAAATTAATACACATAACTATCACCACCAAACATTATCTCAAATTTCATTTTTCCTCTTTTATTTTATAACATAAACTTAATTATTTTACTCCAATTATAAATTTATGTTTCATTAAATATCGATTAAAAAAAATAATATTTTAAATTTAGAAAATGTTGAATCAGAACATTAAAGTTTAAATTTAGACAAAATAAAAATTAAAAAAAAAATGTAATTAACTATTTTATTTTCTACGATATTTAAATTTTCAGGAAAAAAAGAAAAAAAGAAAAACACTATGGGCCTACTGTAAGGCCCAGAGACAAATGGGCTTACTAAGATCCCAAATTTGGGCCTCTCTGTTTAAATTTGAAAAAAATAAAAAAAAAACCATAAAAATAATTTGTTATTTTGAATAGCACAAATTTTCATCAACTATATAAAAAAATATCTAATAATAATATCAACAAAATTTTAAAATTATCTCTCAAAAAAATGATTAAAAAAAAAAAAAAATAAGAACCATGAAATCATACGAACTATACTCCAAAAATATAACCTATTATTTTTTTCTCCGCCGTACGTTTGAAAATATCTTAAAAACGACAAAATTTTCATGTAGCCACCTTAAAAAAGAAAATCCCTCGTGAGCAACTCCAAATTAGTATTCATCCGTGATATTCGAGTAAACGATGAGTATATGAATTAACTAAGACTTTTTGTCAAATTGCACTTTTATAGCAACGGACTTGCGATTGTGCAGCACTTACTTTCCAACGACAAGTGAGCAAAGCCGATTCGTTCTTGCGTCGCCTACGGCTATGCAACGTATGTTCGAGCCACTAGCTTCGGTTTTCAAAGAAGGTTTTAGAAAACGAGGGGAGAGAGATATTTTTGAAAAAAACGTTATATAAGCAAACAAGAGAGAAATAATAACGGCTCAGAATATATAACCTTGGGTAGGGAGATGAAGGTTGAAAATATATATATATATTAAATAATAATAACGGTTGGTGGGGAAAAAATGGAAAACAAAAGGCAAGAAGAGGTAAGGGCAAGGTTTGGAAAAAAGCCAAAAAAAAAAAAATAACGGGAAACAGAATATTCCGTTGTGATTGTTGAAGCACGTGCAGAAGAAGACAAACTAAAAAACTCCCCCGTGAACCCCGAATTACCCCCACTTCTAATATTTTATCACGTTTATGTCCCTACACTCTACCGCATATCTCGCCTCATCCCATTCAATTAAATTAAATTAAATTAAAATTTATTTTAATTTATTTTTCAGCAAGAAATCCCCAAAATTTTCAGATTCATTCCAAATCCCCAAAATCCGATCAACATTTTCTCTCTCTCTGTTCAATTATACACAACTAACTAACTTTCTCGGAATCCAAACAGAAATTACAGCGAATTTGGACATTCCGATTTCATTTCAGTGTTTCCATCGTCGAATTCAACAATCAGAAAAACCCTAATCCCAAAATCAATTTACAGAACTACAAATCTCGTTTCGCCTTCCCCGATCGCAGAAGGAAGTGTGTTTTATATGTACATCAAATCCAACACGATCAATCCAGGGAACAAAAAACGCACAAAAATCAATTCACGACAGGTAGTCGCCGGAGAGAGAAGAGAGAAGATCCTGAAGGTAAATTGAGTCTTCATCGCCGATTCTAATGGCTTCCAGTACTCGCTCGAACACCAGCACATGACAGGGGATTCGTAGCACTCCTTTCTGTTCGTATCCGTACTCCTGCGCCGATTTCTCCAGTAGAGTAACAAAAACCGGGTGGTTTAGTAACTCGGCACTGACGGCAAACCGCTCCATCTCGTCGCCGACGTAGACCGGGACATGGCCCTGGGGAACCGGCATGGCGCCCTCCGGTCTAGAGCGACGAAATTTACTAGCAGCGGCAGCGCGGAAGGAGTGGGCCCTGCCGGGTCGGCGAGCGGCAGCGGAGGAGTCGGTACGGAGGAGGCAGTAACTGGACTGGGAAGAGTCGGCGACGCGGGAGAGACGGCGGATGAGCTGCTTCATTGTTGCAGAGGAGAGAGAAAGAAGGCGATTTGGGGGTTTGAGAAGGAGAGAGGGAATGAGAGTATATAAAGTGGGAGAGCGGGGAGATTAAAAATAAATAATAAATAATAAATAATAAATAAATAAATAAATAATGAGGTACAGTTAAAGCGTACTTTCAAGGTACAAATCAAAGTGCCTTCTCTTCTTCACCCACTCCCTTTCTTTATTTTAATTTATTTTTTTATAACCCCAATTTTTAATTTTAACCTCTTTTTTTATTTAATTTAAATCATAATTTCATTTTTCAGCCTTATTAATTAGGTAAACTAAAAGTTAAATAAATATTAATAATCTCAATAATAAATATAAGATTTTAATCCACTTGGATTAGGTTAATGTTAGTAAATAATAATAAGATTTTAAGAATAATTAAATCACTAATTATCACCCATTTATTTTTATTTTTACACCGCACTCACGCCCAAAAATTATTATATATATATTAATTAACTAATTAATCTTAGCGTAAGAATTGGGCCTCTTTTTATTTAATTAAGAGTAAAGTATGAATTAAATGCCGTCGTTTATAGCCACGTACACATCGGACAAAAATTTCCCTTATTTTATGGTCAATATTTTTATAATTGTATAAGTCTACATATAGTTGAAAATTATTTTTAAATAAAAAAATTAAATTAAATTAGCTCGTGAATTTCTTCCAAATTTCTCTGATAGTGAATTTATTAATTTTTATCGATTTTTACATGAATAATTACTCAAACGTGACCGAGAATTCTAATTCTTAGAATTTTCTTATGTTTATAACGACCGACCAAGTCAATCACTTGTAAAAAACCATTGTTTTCGTTTGATATTCAGTCAAAAAGTCAAATTTTATATATGGTTCGGTGAAAAAAATTAAATTAATTAATCGTTGAATAGTATATGAGAAAGCTATCACTTTAAATTGGTTTAAAAAAAATGACATTTTAATT